GTCACCCTCGAAGCAGTCCTGGATCCACAACACCTGCCTGTATCCGGGGCTACTTCGCCGTGGAGCCCTTCTGTCTGCCAGGAACGTGTTAAAGGCTCTTCACGGTGTTTTACAACTCTGCTTTCTGTAATTCGTAACAACAATGCCACTCTTTCTTGCATGTGTTGCAGTTTCATTTCTAAGAATTAATTACAGTACTGCCCTCAACGGGATGAGGAGCACAGGGTGCATCAGAAATAATGCAAGCGTTACCTGCTTGTCTTATCTCGTTCTGTTGTTTTGCTTCACAAAGCTTTGTACCGATATCTGTGCGATGTATCAGATACAGTTTATAATTGAGGCACATGTATGTAATTGTTCCAAGAAGAGATTGCTTCGTTGCTCCCTCTCATGGCTCTGTTCTAGTGGCAAGATTCCCACTGATTTAAGTGAGATTTCACTCCAGAGTTCTCAAATGCTAGGCAGCAGATAAATCATATCCATGGCGTGCCATAAATTTTATCTAGTGCATCCTAAATCCTGGATTGTCCCAGGCTGAAGGCAAAGAGTAGTGCTGGAGCCTGGAATTAAATGTAATGTGTCTCATGTAGTTTGACATCATGGCATAACAAATGCAAAAGCTGACACACTTGACGCTGCTGTTAGAATGAAAAGCCTCAGGCAGGCTGCAGGACTGCTGTCTCTTGGAATTCAGGGCTGGATTTTGCTTTAACCTGTCCAGTGATCATGAGAGAGAATGGGGCCAGGATCACTCCGCCTCCTTTGAGGGGACTGTGTGGTATTTTGGGACTCTAATAATAGACTCCTGCTCCTTTCTGCCTCTCTGCTGAATGTCTGGTGATACCAACAGTATGTGTGGGCTTTAAGACCTCTGAATTCTCCAGCTCTGAACCTGATGGTCTTCCAGCAGAAGACACATTGTGATTCCAGATCTACTGACTTCACAGGGTTAATTGTCATGTAAGTCTCACTCTCTTGCAGCTCCACCTACATGACTGCTTCGGGGATCAGTTCTACTGTGCATTTGCTGTGCCTGGGTGTTGCCCGTGTAAACTTGAGTGGCGATGTGAAAGTAACTGCTGCTCAGTGGGTGGCATCTCAGTAGCAACTGGGGTCATTCTTTGTCAGTTATCAGCACTGCCTCCAGCTTAATGTCGAAAGACAGGAAGCCACACGCGTAATATTTGCTTTTGCACAGGGCAGGCCTTCTTGAGCAAGCCATGAAGCTGCACTACACGCTACTGAGATGAGGTACATCCTGTGCTTGTTCTGATTAGGGAAGGGATGAAGAAAGCAGAGCCTGCTGCAGTGAGCAGGAAACCTGGAGTTCCACAAACCCAGCCCCAAACGCCAGAGAAACCTCCAGCCTGCAGAGATAGCCTGAGAGCACAGTATCAAGGTGGCCTTCAGCTGGACACACATACCAGTGCAGGTGGTGTCTTTGCTTCCACCTTGAGAAGGGAGTTGTCAAGAGCTGGGCTGGAGGCCACTGGGGGGGCCTCACTGCTCTTGTGGGACCCCTGTGAGCATTGGTGAAGGAACAGAGGAGTGCTCTGCATACAGGGGTAACCTGTCCCACTGCTGTCCTGACAGAGGGGCACATGTACTGCTGCACAAGCAGGAGGAATGACAGAGGGTGACAGCCCCTCTAAACTAACTCTGGAAGGAGAAGCCATGTTGCACAGACCCCAGGAAGGGAGCATGTTCCCAGAGCAGAGAGGCTGTTTGTGATAACTCATTCATTCAAGAACTGGGCTAGCTTTAATAGAAAACAAGGGGCAAGGGCAAAGTCAAGGATGTTTTACCTTATACCAGTCAGCCCAAAGTAAGAAGAAAGTGTGTGAGCATTTCTTCTCCCCTCATGGCCAGAAGGCAATACACTGTAGCTGCTCCTAGAGGTGCCAGACCCAGTGCAGGGCCACCCAGAGCCAGGGTGCATGTCTACTCCCCAAGGTAGGAGGAAGTGGGGCTGTTAGGCACATGCAAATGATGGGGTGGGTCCCAGCCTGGAGGTAGCCTCCCCAGTTCAGAGTCATTAACTCACCTGCCCTTTCTACCTCCTTTACAGGGAGGGCTCCAACTTGTCCCTGGAAGGTCACAGCAGGTGACACACAGAGGCACAGAGGAGGAGGGGACCAGACTCAGACAGATCAGATTGGGAAGGCCATAAGGAGTGCCTCTGCTGCCCAGCAGGATGGGTGGGAAGGGTGTAGCCAGAACCAGCCCTGACTAACACCAGGGTAAGGACAGGTCTTGCCTTAATGGTATTCTTGCCCCAATGCACCCAGTGCCTCAGGCAGCTAGCACTAGTCTCCAGTTTATCAAGCCCAGCCCAAATTAGAGGCTAGGGAACCCCTTTAGGGTCACAGGGAAGCAATGCAAAAGGTAACACAAGGATAGCTCCAGCAGTCAACTTAAATGCTTTTATTGACAATGTCTCCGAACAATAATAAGCAAACAATGCTTAAGTTTCATCCAAATTCACTTTCCACATGTCAAAAAAGACCTCAAGGTAGAAAAAAATAAAATAAAAATATAAATATCTGAGAATCCATATTAATAAATAAATTAAAAACACAATAAAAACGTTTTCATGGAAAACTTATGTCAGAACATTCAGACCACCTCAACAATGCATGATCAGTAAAGTTACAATGAACATCAATGTAGAACTACAGTACATGGATATAGCTATTTATCTACCTACTAGAAAATAGAGTCTCTTTCCCCCCACGTAAGATGGGTCATTGCTAAGTCATCAGAACACGATATTGCCAGGAACACAGTAGTTATTGTTAATCAGCTGCACTAGATACAAGTTGGAGATACCCAGCACCAGGTTAAATTCCAATCATTTAAAACCAAGAGATTAATTAGTTAATGCTAGTGATACTAAGGAGGGGAGGGAGTCACCTACCCAGCCATGTGGACATGCTACAGACTACCAGCTCTCATAGATGGGCCATTGGGGACAAGACAAACTCCATGCGATTTGCTACATCTCTGGAAGAGGTACGAGGCCTCGTTGCAGGGCACTCTGCCAGGCTGCAGGGCACCAGGCCAGCCAGGGGGGTGGCGGTGGCAGGGCCCTCCCCAGGCCCGGGGAGCCCCATGGGGCACAGCAGCAAGTCCGTGGGGGTGCATGGGCAGGGGAGGGGACCCAGCAGGTCAGTCAGTGCTGGAGCCCCTCACAAGGCGAGGAGGGTGGGGGAGCTGAGGGAGTCAGACGAGGGCTCATTGCTGCTGCTGCCCTTCCGGTGCGCAGCAGCACAGCTGGGGAAAGGATCCGCCTCAGGGTAGGTGAAGACAAAGGTGGAGGTGTAGGTGCTGGGGCACGGAGTGCAGGTCACCACAGGGGTGCAGAGGGGCTCCAGCTCACCACTGGTCCCTGCACCCAGTGTCTCCCAGTCCGACACGTAGAAGGAGGAGGCCCCAGGCAGGTCCATGTCGGGCACTGAGCGGGAGGCCTCCCGTGGCCCCGTGGAGAAAAGCAGCTCATCGAAGGGCTCAGCCTTGAGCTCCAGCCCACTGCCACCGGTCTCTTTGGGTGGCACAGCTGGGGGTGCCTCAGCCATGAGTGGCAGGGCAAAGGCAGCCTCCTCAGTCACAGGGGGACTAGGAGTGCCCAGGTCCAGTGCAGTGGCAGCTGCCAGCTCCTCAGAGAAGCGCAGCTCCTCAGGCATCTTGCAGGCAGGCCGGTGGGCCGCCAGGATGAACTCCAGCTTCTCTTT